GAGGGAGGGGAGGGAGAGCAGGGAGAGCCAGGGAAAAGAGACTATTCCTTGCCTTTTTCAGACGGCTATTAAGCAATAATACTATAATAGTGATAATTATATTGTAAGAAAATAATAATACGTCAAACATTTCTTCCATCCATTGTAATAATAAAGATATATTTTTAGGAAGTCCTAATCAGAACAACAACAAAAATTATACATTTCAATAACAACATTTAGGAAGTCCTAATCAGACCACCAACAACAAAAATTATACATTTCAATAACAAGATTCACAAAAGAAAAAAGGAAAAGAAAAAAAGAAAAGAAAAAAGAGTACATTTCAATGACTTCACTACCATTTCTTCCAAGCATGACGAGTTCCTTCATCCTGCTTGGACGACGGCCTGATTCCTCCCAATACACAATCATTCTAAAAAATCTCTAGTAAATTTCTGCATCATGATATCATATCATATGATGATTATAAAGAGAGGAAGAGGGAAAGGGCGAGGTGGGAGGGGGAGGGGGAGGGGGACAGTTTTGCCAGCGTGACGTGATCATTCGTTGCTTCAAACATTACCATTGACGCTGGAGTACAGATGGCCAGGCGGGAACCATTGGAAGTGCACGCAGTCATCGATAAGCGCCTTCATCTCCGAGGCAAACCAGACCGCACCTGGATTTGGATTTCGCACACACACACACACACACACACATTCGGGGTTAGCAAAACGAACCAAATGATCAATCAATCAATCAATTAATCAATCAATCAATCGATCAATCTCATTTGGGGTTAGCAAAGCAAATCAATCATTGGCAATCAATCAATTAATCTCATTCGGGGTTACCAAAACGAACCAAATCTATTGATCAACCGATCAATCTCATTTGACGATGATCAATCAGTTCACCAACCAACAAACCAACCAACCAACCAACCAATCAATCAAACCAATCAATCAATCAATCAATCAGTGAACCAATCAATCAACCTATCTATTAATCAGCCGATCAATCAACAAACCATTCCATCTATCAATCCATCAATCCATCCCTCAATTAGATTAATCGAGTGAGATATATGGGGCCAGCAAAGCAAACTAAGCAAAGGTACAACAGTTGCACAAGCCTTCAGACCCAATCCATCGATTGATTCGGTGTTGCCATCCATCCATCAATCCATCAATCCATCCATCCATGAATCAAGCAGTGAAGCAGTCAAGAAGTCCAATCTGATGACCCAATCGGTCCACATCAATCAAATGGCTATCACCAATCAATCGATTAGACAAAAAACCGACGTGGCAGTCGCATGATCGCATCAAATGAATCAATCACTCGGTTCAACTTCAACTTGGTCCAAATCAGTTGACGGAATAGTTCACCAAATCATTTCATATAAAGTTCATCAATTCATTAGACGCAAGACAGAGAGAGAGAGAGAGAGAGAGAGACTCACCATCCCTTCCCCAACCGATGTATAGGGGGGTGATACCAATAGGATCACGAGCTGCCATGAAGTTTCCATTGCGGGAGTCATAGAGCACGAACGAGAACATCCCGTCCAGCTCGTGGACGACGTCCTCTCCGATCTCCTCGTACTGTTGTCACCAGAGAACAGACAGAAAGACAGACCAACAGCCCGGCAGACAGAGAGACAAAGACAGACATAGACAAAAAAAAAAAAAAAAGACAGACAGAAACAGAAGACAAATGGAGGCAGCTCATCAGCAACAGGCAAGGCAAACATCGGCAGGATCAAGAGAAAGTTCAAGTCTCACCACAACGAACTTACCAACCGATCGGCCAACACGTGAAGACATACTTCACGCACACTTCTTTTTTTTTCACACTTTCACACACACTGCACACACTGCACACACTGCACACACTGCACACACGGCATACACGGTGAAACTCCGACGAAACAGTCTTGCACAGTCGTGCTTTTTATTGTAGAGTTCATCCGTCCACCTCCGAAATTGAAAAATGCCCTGATACTTCTGATTGATTGCACAATGCAAGATGCACACCTGCTTTTCAGTGTTTTCACATAAGAAGGCATTTAGAACGTGTCTGCGGTTGAGCGTTGTGTGTGTGTGTGTGTGTGTGTGTGAGAGAGAGAGAGAGAGAGAGAGAGAGCGAGAGAGAGAGAGGCTGCAGACGGTGATTGGAAGGCTTCATTTCCATTGCACGTCGTTTTCGACCGAACAAATCAGCCACCACGGTGCCGATTCTACCAAAGACGCAACGGACAGGAGGTGTTGCAGGAGAGGAGGAAAGGGAGGGATGGGAAAAAGAAGGCCACTGCATGATATTGAATGGACTAATTGATTGTTTGACGTCAACGGGATCAACAAACGGATGACAAACCCATATGCACGTGCGCATGCATGCTTTGAAATCTGAGGGCAGAACAGAGAACTGAGAGGAGGGCACTGGGCAGAGCAGGAAAGGGCAGAGAAGACCGGAGGGAGTCCCGAGTCCGAGAGATTGACAGACGCGCACTAACCAGATGAGCAATGACTTCACAGTCGCTAGCTGTGTGGAATTTGTGACTATCCTTGAACTTTTTGCGCAGCTCCTCATGGTTATAAATCTCGCCATTGACCTGACAGTGTATCAAATGTTTAAAAAGGATCAAAACCACATATTAGCTTGACATAAGCATAAGATGATACGAAGGAAAAAAACTGACGTGTGCAATAGTTACATAGGCCCATAGGGTGCTTCCAATGGTTTCTAAAAGTAAACAATCTGCCATAAGTAACCAAAAAAGTTTGTGATGAAGAGGTCGTATTGCTCCTTTAAGGTCTCATATATGTATTTGTCAAATTGATGTAACGTAATGTTACATAATAGAGGCGTTCGCAAGAACGAAGAGCACATCCAACACTTGCAGAAATGTTTACGTCCAGCCAAAAAAATAAAAATTCGCCGCTCAGAACACTGCGTACGACGTACGGGGGGTTTATCGTACGGTCGTACGTACGGCCGTACGTACAGCCCCGTACGAAAAAAAAAACAAAAAAAAAAAACAACGTTTTTTAATTTTTGTCTCAAATTTGGTAACGAATTTCAATATGACCCTGAGGCAAAAGTGTTCCAGTTTAGTTTTCTGCATAACATTTGTTTTTTTCAGAATTTTTTTGAATTTTGTTTTTTTTTGCTTTTTTTTCCGTACGTACGGCCCGTACGACCACATGAGCCCGTACGTACGGCCGTACATACATACGGACGGCCCGTATTCGTACGGGGGTCTACACAAGTCGCTCAGGGGAAGCCACGAAAAATGTTCACCGCAATTGTTCTTGTGCTTTGTTCGTTTGCTCGTTGTTCACCGCAATTGTTCTTGTGCTTTGTTCATTTGCTCGTTGTTCCTTCGTTTGCTGTTCTTTCGTTTAGCTAAATGTGTGTGTGTGTGTGTCTGTGTGTGTGTGTGTCAGAGAGAGAGAGAGAGAGAGAGAGATGTTTGTGAATAGGCATACGAAATCGTAGGAGTCTTTTAGAAGCAAGTCCAACAAACCGGCAAAATTAGGCAAATGGAAATCTCTGACAAACAGTTTGTCGTTCTCAAGTGACTTCGACGGTACTCCACCTTGATCGGCGGAGCCTTGCGTGTGAAGGACAAGATGACAAAAGTTACGTAGATGCAAACAATAATCGGGGCCGTGGCTCGTGTTCTGGGAGAATCTCGTTTTGACCAGACTAGATGTCCCAAGTGTCGAGTGCGTCTAGTGCATGTCTGCCTGTGAATGTGTTCGCGCTGCGCGTGTCTCCGACGAGCTCCTGTACGTATACATGCATGCAAGCATGTATGTAATACATGCATGCAGGTATGTACGTATACATGCATGTATGTAATGCATGTATGTATGTATGTATGCATGTATGTATGTATGTATGTATGTATGTATGTATGTATGTATGACTGCGGCAACAGTCCAAGCAAGGAGCAGTATGTAGAGCTAGACTGTGTACGTATGCCATTGTATGTGTGGGTGTATGTCTGTATGTATGTATGTATGCCTGCGGCAACAGTCCAAGCAAGGAGCAGTATGTAGAGGTAGACTGTGTACGTATGCCATCGTATGTATGGGTGTACGTATGCATGGGTGTACGTATGCACGTGTGCACGTGTGTACGAATGTGGACATTATGTACTATCCATGCATGTGTTCTGTATGTATGTGTGTATGTATGTGTGTATGTATGTGTGTATGTATGTGTGTGTATGTATGTGTGTATGTATGTGTGTATGTATGTGTATGCATGCACGTATGTGGACAATATGCATATGGCCCAGGTATGTACGTAAATGGCATTGATGCAATCTGTGCGTTTGTCGGCAGATATATGCATTGAATTTGTTCGCTTCTTGTATGCATGAATGCATAACGGCTTTTGTGAATGTGATGGATGGCATTGGATGCTTGTACGTTTGCATGCTCGTGCGCAGACATGAGTACGGAAACACGCATGCATGCATGCATGGGTGTACGTAGAGTCTGACGTGTTTGTATACATAGTGGATGAACGTGTGTGCGCGTGCATGCACGTGTCTCCATGCATGTACGTGTGCGTCAATGCGCTATGCATGCATGTATGTGCAGCTGTGTGTTTGCGTAATGCGTGCATGGATCTACGTAAATGCATGTGTGCACGCGGGGCATGTGTACCTAACGACGCTAACGTCCGCATACATGTACAGCCTGCAGGTGGACGTGCATGTGGACGTCGTGTACGTAGCATTTGTTTGCTTGCACAAATGACCGACCCCCCCGAAAACATACCGAAAACATAATATAAATATGCTGCTGTACATGCATGTGTCGTGCTGGTGGACGTCCGCATTCATGTGCCGTCTGCATGTGGACGTCCATGTGTACGTGCTGGTGTACGTGTACGTGCATGCATGCAACCTGCTACTTCCGCCATGAAGAACGAGACTAGACTTCACGTCGGAGTACGAACAGCCACACGAAGATCATGCACCTGAACATCTTTACCTAACAGACACACGAAGATCATGCACCTGAACATAGGTTGGCACTGTCTGGATATGCTCACACTTCGCCACTATCACACAGGATCGGTCGGTTCTGTCCTGGTAAAATAAAAAATATCTCTAAAAACAAAACAAAAAAAAGGCCCTGTCAAAATGCACCTGGACACCTTTGCAGGCAGGATCATTTGCAATCTAGCTGTGCTACAGTAACTTCTCCGTTCTCCGTATGCATGCGGTTGCATACATCCGGGGATAAATTTGACACCTCAGATGCGGATGGATGGAAAAGCACGAGTGGACGTAATATTTCTAAAAAACAAAAGAAGCAAAAAAAAAACAGGACCGAGTGCAGTGCTTCGCCGTCTCAATGGCTGATCAGAAACAGCTCAGCTCATGGGCCTCGCTCGCAACACTCTAGAAGCATCTGGACCTTATAGTCGTCCAGATACATTCCGAATGTTGAGACTCCAAACGCACTTGGTCAAGCAAGGCGTCCAAATCCATGTAGAGGGTTGAGTGGTGGAGCGAGGCCCCATGTCCAGAAAAGAAAACCGCGTCCCTCACTGCCGAAAGAAAGTGGGAAAAAAAAAAAAAAAAAAAAAGCCTACCTACATTCTGAGAATTGGTTAATCTGAATCAGGGCATACTCGTACTAACACTTTGCAAAATGCATCTGACCGCGATTCCGGCGCTGGATGAATCTGACTGCAATCACGTCCAGAGCTTTGTAGAAGAAAGTCCACGTGTGAGTACGCCCTCAATCGAAAGATTGAACCCGACCAGAAATGATCCGAATCTTTGAAAAAATAGAAATTAAAAAAAAACGAAAACAACCCTTGCCATCGATTGAAATGCTGCGAAAAATATTAATGCGACGCATCAGGTGATTAAAAATTCCCCTCAAAAGAAAAAAGAAAAAAAAAACGACACGCACTTGTCCAATTATCACGAACGAATAGAAAGAAGGTAAAGACGTCGACGTTGAAAGCGTAACTGTATTGAAAAAACGATACCAAAAATTTTAAGAATATCATTCATTACGATGATGATAAAAAAAAAAAAAAAAAAAAACCGCGTCGGACGCACTGGAATAATAAACGAATTTGACGCGCAGATATTCAAATACGTAAAAAATAAATAAATGGATGCGGCCCATAAGAAAACGGAACGGAACGGAAACAGATGCCGTCCATACACGTGTAGCTTCGTCTATACACGGGCCTTACAATTTTTCACTTCAAAAAAAAAAAGAAAAACTACTCAGGTAGCCTCGTGTCAACTCGTGGGTTAAATCCGCGAAGAGTAGCTTTAAAAAAAAAAAAAAAAAAACAGAAAACACTGAAGAGAGTAGTTTGAAAAGGAAGCAGAAGCAAGGAACAAAAAAGGGAGGAGACAAAAAAGACAAAACGCAAAGACTTCAACCCAGTTCCTACACGTGTACATCTGCACGTGTGCCGACAACAAACCGACAGTATGAATCAAGACTTTAATTAACTCTCAAGAGTTAGTTAATTAACTCTCAAGCGTTAGTTAATTACCCCTCAAGAGTTAAGTAATTAACTCTCAAGAATTAATTAATTAACAAGAATTAATTAATTAAATTAACTAAATTAATTAATTAACAAGCATTAATTAATTAACTAGTTCTCAAGAATTAATTAATTAATTAAAAATAATTAATTAATGAATTAACTCCCATGAATTAATTAATTAATTAACTCTAAAAGATTAATTAATTAATTAACTCTCAAGAGTTCATTACTTCAGTATTGACGAACTCTCAAGAACGCATCAGTTAATCAACTCTCAAGAATGAACCGAGTCACGAACTCCCAATAGATAATTGAATTAACGAACTCTCGACGAACTCTCAACGCACTGTCTTGTGTGAAGTAATGAAATCCCACGGGATTGACGATGGGGCACTGACAACCAAACACTCTGCACGCAAGATGAGTCAGAGATAGATAGATAGATAGATAGATAGAGATAGAGATAGATAGATAGATAGATAGATAGATAGATAGAGAGAGAGAGAGAGAGAGAGAGAGAGAGATGACTTGAATCAACGAAGGGAGATTTTATGTCCGCTAAATTAAATTACAAAGAAATAAAAAACATCATGACAGATTAAGCTTGACAATGAATGCATGCGCCCCGAGCCAAACTCGGGCCGTAGTCGCACTGGAGACTTTTTCGACAGCTCTTGGGACGTAATTGCGGCCAGTTGCATCCAGGTATGGCCGTAATTGCAGTCCGATACATTTAAGAACACGCCAGTGTGCGTGCGCCCTCAGATATGAAAAAATGCTAACAGAAAGGCGGACCTGAACTACCGAAAAGAAAGGCAGACCTGACTATCAAAATGCCACTGTGGCCGTAATTGCGGTCAGATACATGTAAACGCACACGTAGTCATCAAAACACCGTTGACGTCAGCAAGTTGTCAACCTGGTCCGCTCACTACCAACACCTAATTACCAAATTTGTATCTTATTTGTATCAATTATTTAAATTTTCGTTTCATTGTATAATTTTATTCAAATCCTGATCTGTATAAATTTGTATGTATATGTATAACTTTTTATTTATAAATTTGTATTTAACTTGTACTTCGTTTGTAATTCATTGGTATTTAATTTCAATTTCATTTGTATTTTTGCTGACGTCGGAGGATCGTACCATAGTCTTTCCTTAACCGACAAGCCTAACCCAAACACACACCTGAGTTCGAATCCAGATGGAACTACCTTCTTTCCCCCAAATACAACGTACGATCACTATAGCTGTATTCGAAGCATCTTTCTGTCTAGATACAGCCATACTGACCGTACGTTGTATTCGGGGGAAGAAGGTAGTTTACTGAAATAGCACGTGAAAGCCTGAATTACCTGGGGGCCGCGGCTGGTCGGGAGAGATGAAGATAAAAGTCCAAAAAGCATCCTGAGGTTCGAACATGAGCCTCGTAGTCTCGCTATGTGCTGGAACAGCTCGGAAGGTACGAAGTACGAAGTCCTTCTTCGCTTAGAAAGATGATATCTTAAGGCCATCGCCATTT